TTCTGAGATTGTGGATTTGGGGTTTTCATGAGGTGTAAGCCATAACACAGGTCTGCAAAAAAATGTTTTTCAAGAGCTGTTTTGGTTATTCCACATAATCTTTGTTTTTTGGTGCGCTGAATCCGAAAATGACCTCCATTTTGTCATAGGACATCACGTTTCCTGACAATTTAGGTAACTATGTTAAATAAGGCAATACGTCAAAATAAATGGAAATAGACATAAAGTTAAAGTTTTATTACAATTTTTTCATGAAAATCCTTTTTTTGAACTGAAATGAGCTCACCTACACACACTAAACTCTATTCTTCTTCCCTGTGAGGCTCCTCTTGGTGCATTTACGCTTGTGAATAGTATCTGGAATGTCTCTCTGAAGCATCCAACAGTAGTCTGCCATCATTGTAATGCTCCATTTTCCCTGGTATCTCCTTTCCATCTCTTTAATGTCTTGGTGGAATCGTTTACCTTGTTCCTCACTCACAGCTCCCAAATTTTCAGGAAAGTAGTCAAGGTGGGACTGGAGGAAAGGCACTTTCAAACTCATCAGGCAACCTAAAGCTTGAAATGCTTTCAGCATTCGTCCGACAATCTTTTTGTAGTGAGGATTCTTTGTTATTGCCTACTACTAAGTACTAAGTACTACTTCTTTAAATGCAATCCACCCTTCTTTTTGAGGATCCGTCATGGTATTGACAAACTCTTGATCAACTATAAGCCTTCCAATGTCTGGTCCGACGAACACACCTTCCTTAAATTTTGCCTCCGACAGGCCTGGAAACTTGGTGACCAAGTATTTGAAGCATTCTCCATCTCTTGGAAGTGATTTTACGAATTGCTTCATCAATCCCAATTTTATGTGGAGAGGTGGTAGAAGAACTTTATGGGAAGGTACCAAAGTTTCTCGGAGGACATTTTTTTTTCACCGACTGTTAGCACCCTTGCCTTCCAACTCTTCTTGGTCCAGTGATTTTTGTCGGTCTCGACTGTCCCATAGACACAGAAAACAAGGGTATTTGGTATACCCAGCTTGTTGCCCGAGCAGCATGCGCAAGACCTTCAAGTCCCCACACACTTGCCAACCATGGTCTTCATATTTAAGTTTACGAAGAACCAATTCCAAGTTCTCTTAGGTTTCCTTCAAGTGTACGGAATGACCTACAGGTATGGAAGCGTAAAAAACCACCGTTGTGGAGTAAAACTGCTTTGAGACTTTTTTGAAGAATCTATAAAAAGACGCCATTGCTCTGAATCATATTGGATTTTAAATTGACCCATCAGACCTTCGACATCGGTGTAATAAACCAACTTGTCTTCCTGGGCGAAGTAAGGAAGAAACTCCTTTTCACGATGTCTGCACTATGAAGATGACACTCCTGGCAACAATAAATTCCTGCTTTTCAGTCTTGATCCGAGTAACTCAGCAGCATCTTTGGGAAGATTCAAGTCTCTTACCAAATCATTCATCTCCCCCTGAGAAAACAATTTTGATCTTGTATCATCTTCAAGAGTCAGAACTTGATTCGTCATCTGGTTCAGGTATGACTTCACATTCATCAGAGCTAGGTATCTCTTCCAAGGTAGCAGGGGACTTGGGTACTGGTATATCTGTGCCATGGGGGATGGGACAAATTGCTGAGTGAAGATTGGGATATGAGATGGAATGCTTCCATTTGGAATTAAACCCTTTTACATCGCATGAACAAAAGTAACAGTTGTCACTATGGTTGTATTGCTCTTGCCATACCATAGGAATCCCATAACGGAAAGATTTTTTCTTACCCTTGAACCAGTTTTGGAGGTCCTCAACACACAGTTTGCACACTTTGAGGCGCCAAAACTTTTATTATCTTGATCTCCAATTTTTAGTCCAAAATATGCTAAGTATATTTTTTTCACAAAGTCTGTAATATTCTGCTGTTGCTTCAACACTGTATATTCACCACAGATGAAACAGAAACTGTCTGGCGAATTAATACACTTTCGTGGAGCCGTAACATAAACGGTTGAAGAATGACGAGCTAACACGAACTGCGATGAAAAAGTGTGAACAGCCTAGAACCAAGAACCTGATGATGATTCGTGTACAAGTGTGTGACTGCAGGAGAGAGCAGCTCTGTGTCTGTACATGAGACGTCACAGTGCTGGCCACACCCCCCTGCACTTACCGGAGTTGCTGCTATCTGTCCTGTGTCTCCCTCCCACTGGATTCTTCAGGAAAGATTAATCCCTTCTAGCATTAGAAGCACAGACTCAGGGCTGAGGCTTACACATACAGCATGCTGCTGAGTATCCCAGTAGTCAGACATGTCACTCAGAGCAGCATTGTATTCACCCCCTTTGCAGGGAAGGAGGGGCAGAGATTGTTTACCTGGAAATAACAAAGGGCCAGAAGAGAACTAGGGAAATGAGGAAATAGAATTTTTTTTCCCTAAAACTTGCTTAGCTTATGTATATATTGCTGACCATCAGATTTACAGTGCTATATTTTTTTTGCATAACTCGGACAACCCCTTTAAGGTTTTTTTTTGGCATTTTATATCTTAAATGCACTTATGTGAATTAATTAATAGTATTTTGGACTTTAAATTTGGTTAAAAACCCATAATATAAAAAAATACCAAAAATTAAAAAAAATTTGATAAATGTGAAGACAGTTTTGCATTTTGTGGCAAATCATGAAGTCTAGGAGTTCTTTCAATATTTTATTTGTTTTCAGCACACCAAAATACATGGAAATTAGATGAAAGTAATCAAACAGCTTTTTAGTCGCAGACTTGTGTAATTATCACAATTATGACAAATCACGGCTGGAACTATCTTGCTTTGCATGTAAAGAGTCTATCGCATATATTAGTTTCATCTTTTTTTTAAGATGCATTACTGAAATAAATAAATAAACTTTTGCACGATATTCTACCTGTATTACTGCTCGCTACCAGATGAAGTCTACTGCAATGGCGGCAAATCTTGAAATGATAGAGGATGAGTATCTTTATCCCCATCACAACACCTGACACAACTGTTTATAATTCATAGGGTGCATCATACCCCGCAAAAGCTGCACTCCTGGGGGGGGGGGATAGAATCTCCATTATGCTCTAGATGTCACTTAGACACTGGTACACTTACCCATATGTTGTGGTGCTGCCCTAAACGTCACCGTTACTGGTCCTCTGTATTTAACAACCTTAATTCAATCTGTTCCGTGAAGGTGCAGATGGATCCTAAAGTTGCACTACTGAGCATAATTTCTGAGGACACCCTTCCCGCTGAGATGCATGTATTACGGATTAGATCCCTATATTTGGCCCGTAAACTTATCCTTCAAAAGTGGATCTGCTCTACGCCACCAACTTATAGTCAATGGAGTGATGATCTCAATTTTAATTTGAGGAGGGAGGAACTGACTTACAAGCATAGGAACTAACCCCAAAAATTTAGGAAAATATGATCTCTGTGGTTGGAGTTTAATTCAGCATTATCATCATCCCTGGGGACAGCTGAGGAGAGTTGGGTATCTGTTATGTCAGATACTGTGTCAATTATACTGAAAGGTCAAAGCTATGTCTGCAACGGAGAGATAGGATAAGAGTTTGATGTGCTTGACCATACTGGCTCTGAGAATCTTGTATATAAGTGAAGTAATTTTGCACGATCTCTATATGTATAAAAAAAGGTTTCTGGCTATAAGGTCTATAGCCTCATCTGTTGTATTTTTTTTTGTTGTTCGTTCTTGTTAAAATACTTTCCAGATTTGCACCAGCTGGTTTTGTCATTAAATTGTTTCATGTTTTACACACACACACACACTCTCTCTCTCTCTCTCTCTCTCTCTCTCTCTCTCACTCTCTCTCTCTCTCTCTCTCTCTCTCTCTCTCTCTCTCTCTCTCTCTCTCTCTCTCTCTCTCTCTCTCTCTCTCTCTCTCTCTCTCTCTCTCTCTCTCTCTCTCTCTCTCTCTCTCTTTGATCCCCTGCTGATTTTGAATGTTTGCCCACTTACGAAGAAATGATCAGTCTAAAAAATCGATTGGTAGGTGTATTGTAACATTGATACGCCACGAGGTGAGATCTTGCATGGTGCACCAGACCTAGGGAGACTGACAGTTGTTTTGTGTTTCTTCCATTTGCGAATTATTGCACCAGCTGTTGACACCTTCTCACCAAGCTGCTTGGCGATAGTTTGGTAGCCCAGTCCAGCCTTGTGTAGGTCTACAATCTTGTCCCTGACATCCTTAGACAACTCTTTGGTCTTTGCCATGGTGGAGAGTTTGGAATCTGATTGTTTGATTGCTCCTGTGGACAGGTGTCTTTTCTACAGGTAACAAAATGATTAGCAGCACTCCCTTTAAGAGACTGCTTCTAATCTCAGCTTGACACCTGGTAGCCAGAAATCCTGCTGAATGATAGGGGATCAAATACTTATTTCCCTCATGAACATGCAAATCAGTGCATGATTTGTTAGACATGCATTTCTTTTGAATTTTTTTGTTTGTATTCTGTCTGTTACAATACACCTACCATTCAATTTTTAGACTGATCATTTCTTTGTGAGTGGGCAAACATGCAAAATCAGCAGGGGATCAAATTATATGTATAATTTTCTGTCTGCTGTTTTGTTTGTATAAAATGCAAAAACTCAATAAAAATTTAAAAAAAAATAGGTGATTTCATATTCTGCAAATGCTCGTTGGCTGTCTGCTGATTTCTATCTTCTATACTCAGACCCAAAAAAGTGCACTGGTAAAGTCTTGACCGTGGACAGGAAAGTCAGAGTAAATATAACAGCTGGGTTTCTAGCATTTTCAGGAAGAATTTAGCAATGGTAGCACTCGTATATTTCTTACAAAAGGCTTCCTATTTCACTGTAATTATATGTTCCAGAGCACTATTTTTATCAATCATTTCTATTCACAGCAAAGTACAATACAGTAGAAATATCACTTGTTACCTTTGTTCAACTTTTTTTTGACATCTCGTTTAACTAATCTTTCCCCTCTCAGCATCAAGTTTACAGTTGGTCCAGGTAAAGAAGGAATCATAGACTTTACTGCGGGTTCCGAGTTACTAATAGCCAAAGCTAAAAATGGACATTTGTCTGTGGTAAGGATTCTTTTCACTGTACGCTTTATCTATACATTTTTCCGACCACTTGGATTTCAGGTGGTATAAACAAGCTCGCAGCTGCAGCCTGACCACTTTTACAAGAGTGAGAATGGCGCTCTAGTCCCCCTTGTGATAGTACTAAAGTTAAATTAAAATAATACAATTTAAAAACAATCTCATACACACAATTGCAATCTTGTGTGTAGGGCCCACATGTGTATGTAAACAGCGATTGCACTACACATGTGAGGTATCACTGCAAACAGAGCAAATGAGAGCAATAATTCTTGAACCATAGTAACTAACTCTAAATTGATAACCTGTAAAGGCATTTAAAGTGCAACCTATAACATTTTTTGGCACTGTAGTAACTTGCACATGCCCATACTGAATTCTATTATCGGTCATTATATCATAATATTATAGCCAAACTCCAGGTTTCTGCCACTTTAAAGTAGAGTAGTTTGTTTGGACAAAGCTGATGCAAGTGAACTACTATCTTTACTAACAGATGTGTCTGCTGTGAGCGTTGTATATACTGTATGTAGCATCACCTACATACAGTTTACAGTGCTTTGTGCCAGCAGTGGGACAGGGACTTCCTGCCCCGTTCCTGGAACGAAACCAAGCCTGACTAAATGTTGCTCAGCTAATCACAGGAATCTTTATATTTTCTGAATTTGCATAAGGCTTTCTCTGATTCCCTGGGGTGGAGATTGTGATGTGATCCTCCCACCTTAGCCAATTAGAGAGAGCCTTGTCTTCATTCAGAAAATACAAAGCTTCCTGTGAATGGCTGAGCAGTGTTTGGCCCAACTCAATTTTATTCCAGCAAAGTGGCAGGTAAGTCCCTGTCCCACTGCTGGAACACAGCACTGTATATGTTATGTAACTGAGGTTACGTACAGTTTGTGTGGCTGAGGTTACGTACAGTTTGTGTGTGGCTGAGGTTACGTACAGTTTGTGTGTGGGCTGAGGTTACGTACAGTTTGTGTGTGGCTCAGGTTACATACAGTTTGTGTGTGGCTGAGGTTACGTATACAGTTTGTGTGTGGCTGAGGTTACGTACAGTTTGTGTGTGGCTGAGGTTACGTACAGTTTGTGTGTGGCTGAGGTTACGTACAGTTTGTGTGTGGCTGAGGTTACGTACAGTTTGTGTGTGGGCTGAGGTTACGTACAGTTTGTGTGTGGCTCAGGTTACGTACAGTTTGTGTGTGGCTGAGGTTACGTACAGTTTGTGTGTGGGCTCAGGTTACGTACAGTTTGTGTGTGGCTCAGGTTACATACAGTTTATACATAAACTGTATGTAACCTCAAAATAGTTCATTTAGATCAGTTTGGTCCAAAAGCACTATTTCTAAAGTGACAAAGTTGAAGTTAGGCTTTAATGTAGGCATCGACATCTCTGGTGATTGTATGTTCTTCCATCTGTTCAGGGAACTACTGCCTCTCCAAAAATTTGCCTTTTTAACAAGTGTTACCTGAACTTTTTGGCTTGATTTGGCTTTATCCACCTTTTATCTATCATTTTTATTTAAAAAAAATAAAAAAAAAAAGCTGTACCATGTATCACACTAATCTGACTTTTGTCTTGTTACATCTGAACCAAGTCTAGTTTGGCATTATTCCAGAGCGATCTCTTTTTTTTTTTTTTTCAGAAGTGAAGAGTCCTCTTGCACAGTATTGTACAAATGTATTTGATAACAGTGCCCCCTTGTGATTTGAAGTAAAAAGAAATTGAAAGTGTAGTCAAATCTCTATATAGCAGCTTTGAAGTAATCTATTAAGCAAAGTAGGTAATTGACAACATTTGCGTAGGATTTAACCAACTGTGACACATACTTATCCTCAGTATATAAAAATAAGGAGTTTAGATTTTATATCTTTAAAGGTTTGGTATTGTTCTTTATATGCATGTCTAATGTATTTTATAACGGCTTCCTGATTGTGCAGCACTCTAGAATACATTGACTGTATATCAATTTTGTATTACTTGCATTCCTTATTTGTTGTTCTTTTATTTAAAGGTTGCTCCTCGTTTGAATTCACGATGATGACCACTGCAGTCTTTTAGGAATCCGACATACAACCAAAAACTGACAGCTTCACATACATCCATTTCTTCCACTTGTTGGACAATACCTCCTTTTAATACTTCTTGACTCTGCTTTTATATTTTATAGTTACCAAAGACCTGCGCTGCTTATGAGAAAAAGAGGAAAGAAATTATTTTATATATTTGTGAAATTCAGATATTTTATTTTTAACTTGCTTTTGCACAGGCTCCCCCACTAGCGACTTTCTGTATTGCACATTTCATTGGCACATGGTATATGGAGGTTGTCTGGCAGATTTGGTGGCCAACTTAGCTTGCCTGTGTATGCAAGCAAAATGAGGGTGGCATACTAGGAATCTTTACACTGTTTTTGATGTTTCTGCCATAGAGGCCTTTACCACTTTGCAGACCTAATAGGATAATGAAGGGGTATAAATCAGATTTCAGAAATACATGTTCTTATTGGTCTGCACTAGAAAACAAACCTCTATTTATGCAATCTTATTTCTAGGGTTAGAAGGATGTTTTTTTTTTCTCTTTTTGTTTTTTGTAAAATGTTGTGCGGATACATTTGCCTTACTTTGTCGTTGTACAATTTTCAAAAAGCCATATGTACATGCGTTGATAGAGGATTTTGTAATACTTTATAGAAGTTAATGAGCAATTGGGGTTTATTTATACAGGAGAAATTAAATTTCTCTAAAGAAGTGTAGAACAACGACCAGTCAGATGTTTTTTTTGCAAGGCATGGGGTCTCTATGGGCAAGAGGCGAATAATCCACTTTTATCCAGCAGCCCCAGTGTGGAGCAATATTCACTTTGCACTCAGACCTCCTGTAAGAAGGTTTCTGAAGGAAGATCTGGTGTTGTCCTTTAACAGGTCATTAAATTCTGCTTTTCATGTACTAGAAACATAAGAGGATGATGTGATTGGCTGATATGTGTAGAACGGTTCTCCATAGAAGAGGTGCAAGGCCATGATCTGACATTGAAAAACTCTTATTTGTGTAAGAAATTCTCAGATGTGCAATATATAAATATATATGTGTGTAGAGCACCTTAACTAACATTTTGTTGCAATTAAAAAAGAACCCTAACCTGCTCTCACATTTCATTTTGCTCACCAGCTGTCCGTTTATACCACCAGCAATCACTACATTAAGTTGCAGATGTTTAGCTTTCCCTTTTATATATCGTTAAGAGTCTCCTATTGGGCATATTAAACTGTTTGTTACTGACTGATAGGTCAGTGTGTGTTTGTGCTTTTTTGTAACCATGTAAGAGTACATTGGCTCAGAAATATTAGAGGCAGCCGTTTTGTGAGGAGTCCGCTAATACTGGTAGGCTGTGCTTTCTAGGAACCAGTGATGTCATAGAGACAGGAGGTCCTGCTTCCACTGTGTGTTTTCAAGGGGGTGAAGTAAAATTTGACTTAACTTACAGACATTTGCTAAAGCAAGCAAGCAAAGTTTGTATTTTCTGTATAGTTTTTATTGTATGCAATGAAGGGACCGTGTGAACTAAAAATAGTTTATCGCTGTCATGCATATATCTATGTTTTTAATGCTAGTAGGTGTTAAAAGTACTTGCGGTCTTAAACTACCTTGATCAGCGGGGTGCAGCAAGTGTATTTGGCTCTTTAGAGGTTCAAAAGCCTGCTAATAGCATTCAGAGATTTTCAGCAGTTTGTCTTGTGATGCATTGACCAACAGAATTTCTATTTTTCTATAGTTGTTTGCTTTCAAATACACCCCTTGTTTTCTTGTACTCCTTGTTTAAATGACTGACAACCAAAGTACATCTACAATATACGGCAGTGCCCACATCTCCTAAAATCTGTAATATTGCTGAGAATAATTAGCTTGTTTAACAATATTTTAACTTTTTTTTCCTCCTTTTTTTATTTCCCTACACTACAGATGGAGTGGTGGATGGATGGAGTGGTTATATTTTTCTCAGAGACTTTTTAAATGCTTTCTTTGAACTGCATTTATCACCTGACAACTAAAGCGGAAACCAATTTGGCCATATAGTTTACCAGTTAAAAAAAACAAAACAAAACTAAATGTTTATTTTGTGCCCCTTGTCTTACATTCATTGGTTGCTGGTAAACCCCAAGAATAAATATGATTTCCAGTCAGAAAATACTGCTTTTGTTGTCTTGGTGATGTGTGTATAGTTTACACAAGGTGGTCACCTCTCTGATCTTATGCCTTGTCAGTAGGTATACCAGTAAGAGGAAAATGCTTTAACATCGGTGATTGCATTTGTGCCTTTCCACCAATAAATCTGCTGTTATTAAACTTGTGTCCTTCTATTTTTTTCTGCCTTGCAGTATCTCCATGCTTAATACTTATGTTAGCATTAAAACATACTATACTATGTTTTGGTGAATAAAGTTTCAGTGGTGCTAACTTAATTTTTAGACCCCCATGTTTTCGATTTGGCTGATGAAGAAGACCAGCATCAACCAGCATTATATAAACAGAAGATAATTATTCATATTGTACTTTCAGCAGTTTATTTGCTAATCCCAGTAGTCTACTACTGTCAAGGCCGGAACTACTGATTGATGAACTAGGTAGCGACCTATGGCATGGCCACAGCCACTTGTTTCCCTACTCTCTTGCTTGCTAAGAAATGTATCAAATAGTGTTTTTGACCTCTGGTTTTATGTTCACTTTGCTTTTTCTACTTTGTTTAATTGAATTGTTGCAAAAAATATCATGCTGGTATCTGTAGTCTGCCGAGCCACTGCTGCGCCCATAAGAAGTGGGCTACCAGGCCTCTAGAAGTAGCAGTTTGCTCCATTTGTGTAGTCTGTTCTCCAGGGCACGGGACATTCCCCCACGCAGTGATGTCCACTTTGTGTGCGTGTCCTCTATCTATATCCCCCTCAGGACGGGATGGGCTAACAGTGACTATCAATTAAGTAATGTTTTATTTATTTATGTTTAGCACCGCTTGCTTATTAAAGGCTTACTTTTTTTTTTTTTTAAATAAACACACATCATACTTACCTGCTCTCTGCTGTGGATTTGCACAGAGCAGCCCAGATCCTTCTCTTCTTGGGTCCACCGCTGGCGCTCCTGGCCCCTTCCTCCTTACAGGTGCCCCCACAGCAAGCAGCTTGCTATGGGGGCACTTGCTGCTCCCTGTGTCTATTCATACGCCAAGCCATGGCTCAGCCCCGCCCTCTCTTCTCATTTGCTCACTGGCTGTGATTGACAGTGGCAGGAGCCAATGGCTCCCACTGCTGTCTTGGCCAATGAGAAGAGGGAGTCCCAGGATTGCTGAGACTCCCGTGTACACTGCTGGATCTAGAGGGGCTTAGGTGAGTATTAGGTGGGCTGCTGCACAGAGAAGGTTTTTTTTTTTTTTTTTAAAGATTAAAAACCTGGAGCTTTTACAACCACTTTAAATTGGTTTTTAATACTGCACTTAGTGGTGCCTCCCTGTCTTTTTCTTGTCTTCCAAAGAGCTGGTATAATCTGCTGATGTTGCTGGTGTTTTGATGGACTTTTGGAAAAAAAATTTGACTTTTTTTTGGGGGGGTGGGGGTCTAGCACCAACCCTGGCTACTGTTCTACAATATAGAAGACATTTTATATCACTGTTCTGGTAAAATACTTAATACAAAAATGGTCCCTTTAAAACCTGTTTGTAGTTTGTGCTCCAAAAGTCCAGGGGGGGGGGGGGGGGGGGGGGGGGGGGGGGGGGGGGGGTACCACGCAGGCAGAGCTGTATTTCTATCTTGCAATTCTGGCAGTGTTACAATATATACAATGTTGTGCTTGCTGTTTATTCTTATGGGGGGATAGAGCAAGGTAAGCATATGCTGCCAGGCTCGCCTGTGGTAGATGGGAACAGTAGCAGTTGTCATAAGTTTTTGAGCTATCTTATATGCCGATACACTGTTCATCATATTTGAATAGTTTGCCCAGGACCTGAAAACTGAAACTGTCTTGTTAATGAGGATTAGCTGGTACAAAGTCACAATAGCTTTTGTTAATGTTTGGGCTGGTATGATAGAAAAAGGCCTATTAGTACTATTTCCATTACTGTATACAGTGCTGTATATTGGTTTTATGCTGCCCTAGGCAAGACTAAAATTGCAACCCCCGCCATCTAAATTTGTCCTAGCCAACTCTTTAAGATCTACCCTGACAGGACGGGGGGGGAGGAGAGAAGCACTAGTCCTCCAAGCTCTTACCTGTCCAGCAGCAGCTTCTCCAGATGGTGCCAGGATCAGTAGCTGAGCCGGTGTCCCATCTCCTCCAGGATCTCTGGCTTCATTAAAGAACGTGGGGCTCTTCTTCCTCCTCAGGCCCTCCACTGGCCTCAACCATTCCACATAGCCTGGCACACACTGCCCTTGAGCACTCCCTGTATCCACCCACCACTCCGCCCTCTTCTTCAGCTGGTCCCCTGGCCCGTCGTGCATGTGTGTTGTGTTGGCTCAGGTGCCCATGACACCCCCCCCCCCCCCCCGTGCCCCTGCCACTGTCACGGTGTCTCTTCTATGGGGGCACCACTGCCCTGTAAAATGCCACCCAAGGCAAATGCCTTGTTTGCCTCACAGCAGATATGCTCCTGGCTGTATAAAGTAATATAAGCTGATTATCTGTACAATTAATCTTGCAGTTACACCCCTAATTGGAAGCCATGTTCCTGCAATATCCCTTCAGCTCCCACTCTGTTGCTTATGCTGATTTTATCCGCTTTACCTTTTGCTGCTTTTACCTAAGGGCATATGGCTAATTTTTACCCACTAAAATGTGGAGCATTGTTTATTATTATGCAGGATGTATATAGCACCAACAGTTTGCACCAATTTTTGCAAAGCTAAGGGAGACCGTACAGATACAATACAGGAGGGTCCAAAAACATAAATCAGTGTATGGGTAGCTATAGATGGGGTTAAGGTAGTTGCAGCGGAAGGGGGAGGCTCTGGAGACAAGCATGGAAGAAGGTAACGATCACAATAAAAAATGTATG